CAAATACACAAAATAATATTCTTTTTAGCAACATCATATGACCTCTTTAATATTTCTGTTGAAACGGTGATGCATTTTGTACAGGATGCTTTGATTAATATAAAGTTCAAAAGTACAGCATTTATTTAAAATAGAAACATTGTATTGTTACTTTTGCGTTACTTTTTAAATCTGGACAGGGCTTGCTTGTTTGTTTTTAAAATAAAAAAAGTTCTATTTTTGGCAAATATAAAAGCCTTTTCACATCAAAAGGGAAATGAATAAGCCTCAGACTGAAGGGAAAGTAAATTTATGTCCGTACAGTAGAATGCAGAAGAAGAAATTTCAACACACTTCAGCAATAAAAAAAGACACAAATGTTTGTCTAGAGTCATTTTTGCTTATTAGTACGGTTGAACTGGATCATCGAAGGTCAGAAGCAAAGACATTGGTTAATAGAATGGGATTAAATACATAAAGGATATTTGTGTTGTTTAACATTTAATTATTGCAGGTTTGCATCATATTCTGAGTTGCATTATTTTTATTCATTTTGAGGAATACTGAATCTGTGTTTTTTTTTGTGTGAGTGAGATGAATTAATGCACATTTATTTTAGAACTACAGTAACATCTTCTGATTTCTCTCAACATGGGGACAGGAGAGCTATCAATCAATAAATTGGGAAAAAAAAGTTACTTGTGTTACTTATTTGAAAAAGTAACTCTATTCTCTATTAAGATATTCTCTTGTAAATTAAAAAGTAATGCGTTAATTTACTAGTTACTTGAAAAAGTAATCTGATTACGTAACTCCCAACACTGCTCTCCAGCCCAACTAAATCCATTAAAAAAAGTATATACGTTTCAGTTTTGTATAAATTCAGATATAGACACAGTTTATCTGCAGGATAAATTTTAAGCATTTAAGGGTATAAGGGGCATTTATTTATTTATACAAAAATATTTATTTATTTAAGGGCATTTAAGGTATTCACCTGTGAAGACATGAATTGTAATTTTTACCAAAAAAAGTAAAATGTACAATTATGAAATGAAAATCCATCCATATCAGTTGTCTGATAAAAATAAAAGTGAGTAACCAAAAATGAGTCCAACACAACTACCAGACTGGCCAATGCGATTTGTTTTGCCCCTTTATGCTTAAAACCTCTAGAGAAACACAAATTTATTAAAGTGTGTCTAAACTCTTGACTGGTATTGTGTAAGTACACAATAAGACATGCGCTGCTCTGTTTGTGCAAACCAGATAATGAGGGATAGTGATTATTATGACAATAACAACCTAAAATTGTTAGTAAGCTAAGAAAACGCCTTCTCCCCCCTGTTAGATGCCATTGCATCAGTGTTGCAGAAGGCCGAGGTGCGCATTATTAACAACACTGTGTGCAGCAAGCTGATGGATAATGGGATAACACCACGCATGATCTGTGCTGGTGTATTAAGCGGAGGCGTAGATGCATGTCAGGTGAAATGAAAGATTACAGAGATTCTGTTTTTTTCACATTCAGATACATGTCATAGCCTTACATTTATCAGTAACGCATATATATTGCTCATTCCTCTGCCAGGGTGACTCAGGTGGTCCAATGACTTCCACTGAGAGCAATGGCCGCATGTTTCTTGCTGGTGTTGTGAGTTGGGGAGATGGCTGCGGCCGCAGGAACAGGCCCGGCATTTACACACGGGTCACAGAATACCGCAGCTGGATCAGGGAGATGACAGGGGTATAATGTCACAATGGTGACAAGAAATGGACTAAAGCATAACAAAATGTATTGAGAGTTACTGTGGATAATTCAAGCATTCGTATTCGTTTGGGTTGTATTTCAGTTTCCATAAAGATTCCTATAATCAGGCCAAATGTCCACAAAATATTTTTGACTTTTATTTTCCATGAATATAATAATGAGCTTTCATAGCTTCTTCATCTATTCTTTATGTATTTATGCTCTTAAAAGAGCTTTGTTTATGTCGTCTATGTGCTGTTTTAGAGCTCAAATGTTGCTCTTGCTGTGGAGGAAAAGTATTCTTGCTGCCTTGCTTAAGTCATTACAACTTAAATGCAGGGATTTTTATAATGTAATTGTTGGCATAATGTGTTAATTGACTGTGTTTTATGTTTATTACATTATAGTTTTATCACCTTTCATACCAAACAGACTTCATGATCAGATCTGTGCACAAATGTATTTTATGGCTAAGTAACAGGAAACAATTTTAGTGTTTTCATTTATTATGTCCTGCTTGAATATTTAATTTTATTTGTATGCTGATAAAATTATATAATTTCTGTAAGCTTTGTTATTTGCAAGTATATTTACTGTGTGTGTGGATTAAAATTTGTGTTCTTACTCCTTAGATTTGTATTTTACATCCATTGAAATGTTGGAAAATTTTATGTTTTGTTATAAAAATTTGTCTTTTTTTATTATTTAGATTTTTGCAATTTTGTTTACACTTTTTTGTTTGTTTTACTGTTATGTGTATCTGTGATTTAGTTAAAATGTTATATTTTTATTTTTGTTAATGACCTCCTTTGGGGGATTGGCGTTCCCATAATGTGCCTTGATACGGTGGAATCTTTGATAAACATTAAAAGGGAAATTCTAATCTGCTTTGTATTTGTTTATTTTTCATGTTGTGTATTCAGGGAAAGTTATGAAAAATGCATCAAATACATTTTAAATATAACATATTTAACATGTTAATAGGTTAACACAAAAATAAAGACAGGAGGTTATGAAAATGTCTATAAAGATCAGTGAATACTTTTAATTATCTAAAAGTATCTTATTTTTGTTTATATATTGTAGCTACAATGATATCTATGTAATGCCTTATTTCTGTCCATTTCTATTATTAACTGTAATGTAAGGCTTGCAATTGTTATATTGGCATTTGTAATTTAAAATCGGAAATTAAATTAATAACTAATAACTAAACTATTTCTTCAGACTGCAATTAAGTCTGACATGAGCTTTGTTCATCTCTTTATCCAAAAGCTATTATAAAATATGATTTTGAAATATTAAAGGCGAAGATATTTTGATGAAAACGTTTGCTTGTGTGTGTGATGTTAGGAAAATATTCCTTGGAAAATAATAATAGGAAAATATTCCTATTTTTTCTTTGTTGTACTACACCTGGCGGCAAAGATGCAACAAAGAAAAAATAGGAATATTTTTAATTTTGCATTTTCTTTAACATTTTCGTATTTTATCAGCCTTTCATTAATTTCGTTAGCCCACTTAATTATATATTTATTTACGCACGAATATATGGATTTGTCTTCATTCGTTCATTTGTGTGTTTTATTTAATTATTTTGTACCACAGTAGCAGTACCAATATTTGTGAGAAATCATTCTTTTGCAGAATTTACATCTATGAACGGAAGTTTAGATGACAGACCGGAAATGTGCACCCATGTTATTATTCCTACCGTCCTTGTGCGTAGCTCGCTAACACATTTCCACCAACATTCATGGTAAGATGCTTTAAATATTTACTTGATAGACGTAAAATAGATAAAAGAACACGATACATTTGGTTAATTACATCATAATGGATGTAAAGGCTGAATGGGACTGTTAGCTCGTTGTAATAGCTAGTTACAGAATTAGCAACACATCAAAGATAGTTATTATATGTGTTTTTTTGTCAAAATATACAGTTGTCACGGGAAATAATACACGGTTTCATAGTTTTTCTATTTTAGATTAATCTGGTTTGTTGTCCTCAAATGTAATACGGAAGTGAACATGCTAAAGTATCTTGACAGTTTGCATGCATGCTGATTTTGTTGTCATTTATTTCATTATTACAAATGGTGTATTAAATACAATTGTGTGAAATGCAGCAATTTAATAATTATATATTTTAAAAGGCGAGTTAATTACTAAAAGAATCCTGAAGTCATACAAAATACTGCTTTTCATATGTCTTTAGACCTGTTTCCTTAGTTGATCATACTTAATTTTGTAAACCCACAGATACCGTTTTTTGCTGCTGTGAGGATTTAGGTAAAGATGGATGCATTGGATCACGTGTTAACAGACCCACTGGAGTCTGGAATGGATCAGGATGGACGTGTGATGGAAGAGTGCATGTTGGGAAACTGTAGAGTTCGGGTTCCTGAAGATTTGCTGGAGGACGTGAGTTATCATCCTTCTTGTTTATTTTTGATGAAAACATGAGAGTAAAGACTAAGCCGTGCATTTGTGTCTTTGTGTAAGAGCAGCCAGAGATATTCTTCTCGGTGATGAGTGAGAGCACATGGACAGATGTGCTCACAGATGCTCAACGGACACATCTATGCCAACTCCTGCCTCAGTTCTCCGAGAATAACATTTCAGAACAAAACAGCATCATCAGCGAACTTTTCAACAACCAGAATTACTTCTTCGGAAACCCCTTGCACATTGCCCAGAAGCTGTTTAGAGGTTACTCTCTTTTCCTTTTATTTTCAACCTTTGAATTTTTAAATACAAGTTTGTTAATCGGTTACTTTAACCCAGAGGTGGTCAAGTACAGACAACTTTGTGCCAAATCGCAGAAAAAAAGGCACATCTACTCCCTTCAACAGTACTACCACAAATTACTCAAACAGATCCTGGTTTCTAGAAAGGTACAAAAAATCACAGACCTCACAGAAAAAGCTAATTCAGTTTCTGTTACTTGGTCATTGTTTATCTTTACATATACACTGCTGTCCAAAATTTTGGAGTCACTACATTTTTTTTCATTTTTGAAAGAATTTAAAGGGGTCATATGATTTCAAGTTTTCCTTTCTCTTTAGTGTTACAAGCTCTTGGTGCATAAAAAAGATCTGTAAAGTTACAAAGACTGAAGTCTCAAATCCAAAGAGATATTCTTTATAAAAGTTAAGAGTCAACCACGCCTACCTAAAACGGCTCGTTCTAACACGCCCCCACATACCTACGTCACTATCTGGGAATATTATTTAGCATAATGCCACCCAAATGTGCACGCAAAGAAAGAAGGCGTGGTTTCAGTAGTGAGCAGTGTTGATGCAGCCATGTCAAGGAGATGCTGTGTTTCAGTGCGAAAGCAAAAGCACTTTATTTGGCCTTCCGGAAGTAGATGCAATTAGGAATCATTGGTTAAGATTTATTTACAACTGAACAGCACAACCCAGATGTTCGAATTTGTGCAACGCATTTTATGGACAACAGTTTTTTTTAACCTAGAAGAGTACAAGGCTGGCTGTGCACAAAGGCTATTTCTAAAAAAAAAAAAAGGGTCAATTCCGACTTTGCTATGGCAATCTGGCGCTTCTGAATCAGCGACTGTAAGTATGTTTTGTTATTAGTTTAAGTATTTGCTATTGACTGTTCAAATGCGGAGTTTTGCGCAGCGCAGAGTAACGCGTCGTGTGTGTGTGTGAGGGGAACAGGGTCACATCACAGGAGAGTGAACTGCATGTCAGAAATCATAGCACGTCAGCTGTTTAACCGCGGCTTGTGTACTATTATGGTAAGGGGTGTTACATTTCCGATGCATGCTTGTGGTGTTCGGCCAATCACAATGTACTGGGTCAGCTGGCCAATCAGAGCAGACTGCACTTGTCAAAGGAGGGGACTTTGTTGAAAACGACTTGTTTGAGAGAGGCATGCATTAAATTGATCAAAAGTGAGTGTAAAGGCATTTAATTTGTTACAAATCATTTAAATTTAAGTAAATACTGTTATTTGTTTTAAATCTATTCATCGAAGAATCCTAAAAAAGTTTCTTGATTTCAACAAAAATATTAAGCATCACAACTGTTTTCAACATTGAATATATTAAGAAATGTTTCTTGAGCACCAAATCAGCATGTAGATTATCACTATGTAATCTACTAATGAATGCATATGGGTTCTCTTGTAATGCAGGAGTTGCTGGATTTGGCAGTCCGCAGTGGACCTGAGCTTGCGGTAAAACGGCGGTACCCTGCCCCCTCTCATAAGGAGATGCTGGAGCAGAGGGTGAGACATCGAGTGGGTCACATACTGAAGGGTGTGAAAACAGAGTGTGGGGACAGTAATGTGTCATCTGATGAAGATGGTGGGTGTGATGCAGTGTGACAACATCTTTTTCAGCATGATTATGTGTTCATGTAATGATGATTGATATGATGATTTTATGTTCATGTAAACAGATACAGCCTCTTGGTTTCCTGTTCCTCAGTCGCCCTCCTCCACAACGCCAACTGTCTCTCTCAGGGTCCTACCCAGCCTTTCTACTCAGGACATGAAAACCAGAGGTCAGTTAAAGCTATAGCTTTAATGTTCTATGAAGTTGTAAGGGACTGAATATGATTTTCCATGTAGACAAGCCTGAGCTGGGTGAGAAGGAGCTAAGAGCCATGCTGCACAGACACAGAGAGAAAAGAAAACGACAGCCAGTAAGTTGCCTAAAGGGGTCATTTTTTTACTTTATTATTTATATTACTTTTTCCCTCTGATGTGCAGTTATAATGTTAGTAAAGTTTTGTTTTTGTCATATTTTAGTTTGTTTTTTACCTACTACATCTTTAAAGGGTTAGTTCACCCAAAAATTTAAATTCTGTCATTAATTACTCACCCTCGTGTTGTTCGAAACACGTAAGACCTTCGTTCATCTTCAGAAAACAATTTAAGATATTTTTGATGAAATATGAGGGATCTCTGACCCTCCCATAGACAGCAGGGTAACTACCACGTTCAAGGTCCAGAAAAGTACCAAGATGATCAACAAAGTAGTCCGTGTGACATCAGTGGTTCAACTTTAAAGTCACTTGTGGACGCGTGTTCACGACAGTACCATGACACAAGCGTGTGGCAGCGCTGACCCAGATCCGGCGTAATGACGTCAGAGTGGCGCAGTAGAGACGAAAATGTGGAATAAAGTCGTTATTTTTGTTTTCTTTGCGCAAAAAAGTATTCTCGTAGCTTCGTAACTTTACAGTTGAACACTGATGTCACACGGACTACTTTGTCAATCATCTTGGTACTTTTCTGGACCTTGAACGAGGTAGTTACCTTGCTTTCTATGGGAGGGTCAGAGAGCCCTCAAGGCGTTTCAGTGATGACTCATCTGAATGCCTCTGATTGGCCGTTGCGTTCATGAACTCAACAGACTCATGTGTGATTGGTTAGAATGCGCAACACTGTAAAACTCGGAAAAAGAATCATGGTGCAACATTGAGCAGATCTAAATTTAATGCTGCAGTCAACACTTTTCATTTCATTTTCATTTTATTCGCGACAGTCGTAATGGATTTAGTTTAACACCGCTGCATTTTTATCCACGTGTGTTGCCATAGTTTTTTTTTTGCCATAGGATATTACATCATTGATAGGCAACAATGAACAGGAACAAGCCATTATATAAAATTGGAATTTCTCTGGATTTACAAATCCTTGGGAACTTTTGGGATAACGTAAGTGCACAACTGCATGAAATATATCACACCGTGCATGTGGTTTTTGGATATTTTATTATGAAAATCGTACATATTGTGCCTTTAAGAAACTGTGATGACAATAAGTAAAATTGACATCACATTTTTATCATAAAAAAAAGCATCTTAAAGATACAGCATGTTTTAATAGTACATCAAACCCAAAATTACATTGTGCACTAGGACAGTGGTTTTCAAACTGGGGTCCGGGGACCTCCAGGGGTTCACAAGGGAGTACTAGGGGGTCCATGAAAGAGTTTAGAGAAAAATAGTGTAAAAAATTTGAAATTAAATCATGAAAATTAAATTAAAATAAATACATACATAAATAGTACTTCTCTAACAGTATGTAGTGAGTAGAAAATGTAATTATGTATCATAATAGGAACTGTGGAACACACACACACACACATAATAAAAACCGTAATATTGTGAATTATTATTAGAATTTCAAAAACGGTTTTCTAATATAATATATTTTAAAATGTAATTTATTCCTGTGATGTCAAAGCTGAATTTTCAGAAGCCATTACTCCAGTCTTCAGTGTCACATGATCCTTCAGAAATCATTCTAATATACTGATTTGGTGCTCAAGAAACCTTATATCATTGATGTTGAAAACTGTTGTGCTGCTTAATATTTTTTTCAGAATTTTTCAGGATTAGTTTCGTAGACAAATATAATTTGAATGCCTTTACAAAAGTAATATTCTAATCAAAGAACAAAATATTCTAATGCAGTGTACACACCCGTTCTGTAAGTCTTAAAAATGACTTTTAATGAGTAAGAATTCATTAAATTAATCAAAAATGACTGTAATGAAATTAAATGAATTCTTGCTGAATAAAAGTAATTAAACAAAGTCTTACTGAACAGTTGTGTACACTCCATTTGTCTTTGAAAAAATGGTTAGAATATTACTTTTGTAAAGGCATTTAATTTGTATTTGTCTACAAAACTAATTTTTAAACAGGTGTCTTTCAGATCAAGGGGTTTTTAGATTGTGTAAATTCATACATTTCATGCACTACTTCATTCAAGTATGTCAAAACCACCAATAGAGTACATTTCTTTACACTGATATGTACAGGTCCAAGTCAGGAGGTAGACAAAGATCTAAGTGCCCTGTGCCAGTTATGGCTGGAGTCAAAGGATCATGTTATTGTCAAGGTAGTAAATGGCTTATATGCTTTTTCACGATGATGTAATGATGACACACTCACCGATTTCTGATTCTATGTTTGTTTTACAGCAAGAGGGAGAGGAAACCACAGAGCTCACTCCTCCAACACCAAGAGTGTGAGTTTGCTTAACCATACGTATCATACTTGAACAAAAAGCTTCCTTTGTCTTTTTAGTTGAGACTGGTGCACACATGCATGACATTTCATGTTGTTTTTTCTACTCTTTATTAGATGGACTGACTATGTGGTGAGGCCTAGTACAGGAGAGGAAAGGCATGTTTTTCAAGAGCAGGTTAGTGCTTGGGTCTCACCTACCCTAAGGAGGCATGCTGTCAAACCCATATTTTTTTACATTGTTGCACTGCTTTTGGAATTTAGTCTGTTATTATTCTTTCAGTCATTGAAGTGTTTGTGGTTTTTTAGGAGCAGCAGCGTTATGATCAGCCGCATAAAGCCTTCACTTACCGAATGCACGGCTTTGAGTCTGTGGTGGGACCGGTCAAGGGAGTTTTTGACAAGGAGACGTCGCTCAATAAAGCACGAGAGCATTCTTTACTGCGGTCTGACAGACCGGCCTATGTCACCATACTGTCTCTCGGTAACCACTGGGTCCTCTTTCTTTCTGTAGTTCTCTTAGGAATGCATTTTATTGACATGGTTGATTAAACCATGTCAGTACAATACATTATTCATTAAGATCCTGTTTTCCTTCCCAATTTCTGGTATTAGTTTCTTAAAATAATTATAACAGTTATCAGGGACAGTTCACCCAAAAAATAATTACTCACTCTCATGTCATTCCAAGTTTCTTTAATTATTATGACAAGAACGGTCAGTAGAAAGAAGCTCAAATGGGTTTGGAATGACATGAACCATGTGAAAACTGAACCATTATTCTCAGAAGGTCTTGAATTGAGGTTCAATAAAGAAAGATAAAAGGCATATGCATGTGTTTCCTTTTTACATAAACAGTGCGAGATGCTGCTGCCAGGCTTCCTAATGGAGAAGGTACTAGAGCTGAGATTTGTGAGTTACTCAAGGACTCCCAGTTCTTAGCCCCCGATGTCACCAGCGCTCAGGTCTTACATGTGTTTTATGCTGCCGTATTTACTATTATAACACATTAGTCAGTGTTACACTCACACATTTTGTCAATTTTTAGGTAAACACGGTGGTGAGCGGTGCCCTTGACCGCCTGCACTATGAGAAAGACCCTTGCGTGAAATACGACATTGGCCACAAACTGTGGATCTACCTCCACAGGGACCGGAGCCAGGAGGAGTTTGGTGAGCAACCCTGTAACCAATGCATTTACGTAAAACGTCAGAAAGGTTTCATTGCCACGGGGAAAATGTGGATCAGTACATGTGCTTGTCACACTAATGAATCCCATTTATATTGCCCGACAAGTAGAACTGGTTTAGTAGTGATTAGCAGGCCGTATCAGGTTTCCATGTGCTGCTATTGGTAAATACACACCTGCAAAATCAGACATGACAGGATGATACCAAACCAGTGTAATTTTAGTATTGTTTATGTACTATTTTAATATTTCTTAATCATTTTTTTTCTTTTTTTTTTCTGTTTTCATTTTAATCGTAGCTTAAGTTTTAGTAATTTTGTCATTTTCATTAGTTTTTAATCATTTGTATTTCTAGTTAGCATTTGTTTATTTTTAACAAATATTTAATCATTTTTAATCATTTTTAATGAGCGGTTTTAATCATTGTAGCATTTCAGCTTATTCTTAAAAATGTTGCCTTATGAGCTAACTAAAATATAAGTTAAAAATAGTACAGTGTTCATCAAATATTTATATTTCTTTTTTTTTATTTCAGCTTAATTTAAATTTCCAGAAATTATTTTGGAACATTAAATAATTCATAATGTATCATTAGTTAATATGTATATTCAAAGAGTTAGAAACATAAGATAATGTGCTTGTTAATGTTTGCTAATAAACGTATTAAACATTAGATATTGTTCAAACAAATCATTATTTCATGTAAGTTAAAATGCTTACAAATGTCATTAAACTTTCAATTCCATATGATCAAGCACTTATTGAGAATCTACCAGTGATTTTAACAGATGTTATAAAATGATTAAAAGCTTGTGTTAATGTACAACACTTTAGCTGCTATTGAGGTGTGATACGGGTAAGGTTAGGGACAGGTTTGGTGGTTTGGGTAGGTTTAAGGGTTGGTTAAGGGGTCAGAAGTGTACAGGGGTCCATTTGATTATTATAAGGGAACACGGTTCAATCTGTTTATTATATTTTGCTTTGATAAATGAACAAGTATTTTCTTTTAAAAAATGATTTGTTTGCCCCTGTTTATTTATGATTCAAGGAATATCCTGTTTAATGATATACTGAAGAGTAGTATACTAATGTGAGTGTTGAGGCAATAAAAAAAACTTTTGCACCAAAATTACAATCTGTTATGTCTTTAATCATTATTTCATGTAAGTTAAAATGCTTACAAATGTCATTAAACTTTCAATTCCTTATGATCAAGCACTTATTGAGAATCTACCAGTGATTTTAACAGATGTTATAAAATGATTAAAAGCTTGTGTTAATGTACAACACTTTAGCTGCTATTGAGGTGTGATACGGGTAAGGTTAGGGACAGGTTTGGTGGTTTGGGTAGGTTTAAGGGTTGGTTAAGGGGTCAGAAGTGTACAGGGGTCCATTTGATTATTATAAGGGAACACGGTTCAATCTGTTTATTATATTGCTTTGATAAATGAACAAGTATTTTCTTTTAAAAAATGATTTGTTTGCCCCTGTTTATTTATGATTCAAGGAATATCCTGTTTAATGATATACTGAAGAGTAGTATACTAATGTGAGTGTTGAGGCAATAAAAAAAACTTTTGCACCAAAATTACAATCTGTTATGTCTTTTAGCAAGCAATTAGCTAAACTTAATCAGCCACCCTTTACACAAACCTTGTTACATTAGCTAAAAGTCCAATGCCCATAAAGATACTAAATGATTAGTAATCGTTTGTAAACATTTACAAATGATGAATAGTTTCAACTATAGATTGGCTACTGCAAAAACATGAACAAATAATTAATAAATGATTAGTAAAGATGTGTGAATAGGGTAAATTCAGGTCTTTCGGGACACTTTTTGCCATTGAGATGTCTGCTTATAAAGGTATTAACTATTAATGATTAGTAAACATTTATAAACATTTGCAAATGATGAATAGTTTCCACTTTAGATTGGGTACTGCAAAAACAAAATAATTAATAGATTATTTGTTAAGATGTGTAAATAGAGGTCTACACAACAAACAAAGACCAACAAATGAAGATCGTATAAACTGAAAGTTACTGACATTTGTAAGCATTTCAATTTACATTAAAAAAAACTTTTGCACCAAAATTACAATCTGTTATGTCTTTTAGCAAGCAATTAGCTAAACTTAATCAGCCACCCTTTACACAAACCTTGTTACATTAGCTAAAAGTCCAATGCCCATAAAGATACTAAATGATTAGTAATCGTTTGTAAACATTTACAAATGATGAATAGTTTCAACTATAGATTGGCTACTGCAAAAACATGAACAAATAATTAATAAATGATTAGTAAAGATGTGTGAATAGGGTAAATTCAGGTCTTTCGGGACACTTTTTGCCATTGAGATGTCTGCTTATAAAGGTATTAACTATTAATGATTAGTAAACATTTATAAACATTTGCAAATGATGAATAGTTTCCACTTTAGATTGGGTACTGCAAAAACAAAATAATTAATAGATTATTTGTTAAGATGTGTAAATAGAGGTCTACACAACAAACAAAGACCAACAAATGAAGATCGTATAAACTGAAAGTTACTGACATTTGTAAGCATTTCAATTTACATTAAATAATCATATGTTAA